CAAAAAGTATAAAAAAATATTTTTGTAATGGGGGGGGCGCAATAATGGATATATTTTGCGTGGCAAGTGAGTGGTGACTTCACATCGGTGACGTAACATCTGTGATGTCACCCGCATGTGGCAGCGTCACGCAGTGTGCCTGCTGACGGCACGCATCCTCCCCCACCCTCCTCGTAGGCCGTGTGTTAATCCAAGACAAGAATCCAAGTCTCGGGCGAAGCCGGGTAGTAAAGCTAGTATGGTATATGTACAATGAAGTTGTGTGTAGGCTTCTTAAAGCCATAGCAATGTTCATACGATATGACAACTCAAACAAAGCTTTGGTACATATCAAAACACACGTGGTATATGTATATAAATGGGTTGCACCATTTGTTATTGATGTGATTGTTAGATGGTAGTCAACATTTCAGCATGACAAGTGTTTCAAAAAAATCAGCCTAATGGATATCAAAGCCGTAAATGTTATAAACAATGTAACCATCAACTTCCAATCACCACACTAAAAGTATGATAATCAGTTTTAGTTATTGAAGACAGTAGGCCATGTAACTATACCCCCTACCAGTGATTTGTTTAATTATCCAGATTCGGGTCATATTGTATTCCAAGAGTCCTTGTGACAATGTTTTACCTCGTGTTTTTTTTATCGAATTTCTATAGCCGTTTTCTCTTAATTTGCCTAAATGTAACATAAGATAACTTGCATATAATTTAGAGAATTCATAAACAATTCGCTCCCGCATTATTTAATGCAAAGAGCATATGTGTTAGCATCAATGTTTTAATTGATGAAGCAATATATCGTTGACTGTTGTATCATAGGACCATTAGAGATGGCAATGGCTTGGGGAGGCCTTCATCCAGCAGTGGATTGTTCATGGTTGATAGTGGTGGTGGTGATGATGATACAACAGTACAGGCCAAGAATACACATACGCAGTGCTCCACAAACAGCCACATCCCTCACTCACTTGTAGGCATACTTGTCCAGCTTGACAGCAAAGTGGCGAGGCATTGCGCTGCACCCGTAGTAGTTACGGTCATTCTCAGGCACATGGTCCACATCGTGAAACACGAAGCAGTCCCAGGAGTATGAGCGCAGTGCAGCCATGAAGCCCGCATTGAAGAGCATTGCACGGTTGAAGAGTCGGCTACCCGCCTGCTCCACAACAAATATGCCAAACTCCAGCCGCTGGCGGTGCAGAATCGGCAGCAGGTGCCGGAGTAGGATGGGCAGATGCTCATGCCGGTTGCGGAAGGGGATCAGGATTGCCACCTGTGAGTTTGCAAAAATAAAAATTAGCGCAAAGGCTCAGAATTGGAACCGAGGACAGGAGGTGTGCAAGGTGGGTGATTGAGCAGGTAATCATGTGCGCGTGAGATCAAACTGCAACGCAGGCACATTTTCAGACAATCAGGCGAATGAAAAAAAAATGTGTTTCATGGTTACTATGAACTAACAAGCACAAATGATCGAGACGACAGTGCTAACAAGGTGGCTACCTTCCCTCTGAATTCAAATAGTTCAAGACTGATGTCTTAAACGAGTGATTATGGTTTTCAGGAAAATGCTGAAGTGTGTTTCACTTATTGGTAAACCAGTGGTAAAAATTAATCAGAATCAGTATATTAATTTCTACTGGAGGAATCCGATGTGCTACACAGCTCTTTTTCAGAGATGTCCAGTCGGGGCAGGTCCGAACGTTACAACAATACAAAAACACGATAGCAGTGTAAAAGTGTGTTGTACAAGACCACTGGCTTAAAAAGTGCACAACTGTATTCAATGGTGATAGTAAGAACTGTGATACAAAACAATAGCAATGCTTGGTCAATACAAAGCACATAAATCACACATGTGAATGAACACACAACTCAACAAGCTTAATTTCATTTCTGCTCACTAAGCTAATACAGCGCCACGTAAGCAAATGCATTGTTTTCAAAGCCACGAGTAGCAATTTTAATTGTACTATAATTGTGCGAACATTGCAAACGTTAAGCGTTTTCATTAGAATGCAATCTGTATCATGGTTAAACATACAATGGTAAAGTAATTTAGGATACAGCTAAACATAACCACCATGAAAACCTTTCTTTTGAGATTTTTGAAGGAACTCTATTGTGTTTAAAGACTAGACATACAGGTCAACTATAGATATACAAAACAATGAATAGCTTTTTCATCATACTTAAATAAAGAGAAATACATTTCCCTTTATAAACAACACTATCAGAAGCAACCTCTAACTTGTATCAACTTCTGCTATTGGTGCCATTTTCCAGACAGCAGTACATGTGGTCAAACATTGTTAAGCATTCATAAGTTTACTATTGGGCAATCAGTGTTGAAAGTCACTGAGTTAACTGTTAAAAAGTATCACATAGAGGCCTGTAAGGCAGAAGTGAAAGTTTCCTCTTTCATATCCAATGTGTTCCTATGCCTGTATATATTGTCACTAACCACAATAGAATTGACAAAGGATTACACTAACTGGGAGGGAGATGAAACTAGAAATAACAAGTCATTCTCTTGAAATTACATTGAGAGATGAGTCGACAATGTAAAAAAAAATCCACTAACAAAGAACACGCTCACATCTTGTGCAGAATACAGTAGCATACAAAATGTAACACGCTGACATTATCTGGATAACTATGACAGCTTAAACAGTAACAGCCATTAACACAAGCTGTCACCGTGGAAGCAGCTGTAATTGAATAAAGATTTTTGGTGATACGAACCAAGGCGAGGATTGAGACGCAAAGAGTACGCATGGTGCACACTTTATTGATAGATTGCCACAATTTTTGTATATTACTGCAGTGAGCAACCCTCATCCATTCAACTGTTAAAACATCCTGCATAGGCCGGACATAACACAGAGTACTCTATTCACAAAGCTGAGCCATTATCTACTTTACAGGCTATTAACAAGCAACACACGTGCTTCGAAACACAAAGTGCTCATTCTCTTACACTTTAAATCTCAGAGTACACGCTGATTCATTGTGAGATCTGTTTTTTGCGTGGCCAACAAAAAATGTTACCAAAAAAACATTAACAGGTCATAAGGCTGTCGTGCAAACACTTTCTGGCTCCCCATAAAATTATTTGTTTAAGCCACACGCCAATGCCAGCAGCAACCTCCTTTATAATTCAGGGTCACCCAGGGCAGCACAGCCAAGCCACGAACACTTCGTTGGAACTCCTGAGCTAGAATATTTGGACATTGAACAAGGCATCCACTGATTTAACTTAACATGCTACACGTCTGCTCGAATTATTATCGTAAGATATATGCCACAATTCAAAAATGCTTTGTAACAAAGTAATACAAAATACTGTCAACATTGAATTAATGAAATATGCATGTATTCTATTCCAAGTGTCATCATCATGAACAAAAAACATTATATATTTAGAGTAGAGCTGTGTGATTCTCGTAATTCCTAGTCAGGACTGCGATTGCATTTTTGGAATCAAGACGGTAGGGCAAGGCTTAGCCTGACGAGTGGTGATTCTGAATACCGTAAATCAAGTCGAGGAGGAACCCACAGAGCTTAGTATTGGGCTGTCAGGTGCCGTAAAATATTCAGATAGTGAGAATTTTTTTTAATTTATAACTGAAAGTAACACTGTACAGTTTGCCATAAAAAGTCCGTCTATGCAAACAAAGGCAGCAGATATTTCATATATAAATTAGCATTATCAGATGGTGGACATATGACAGGGTGAGGTTAGATTTGATTTGGTAATTCTAAATCCAGAAGCATAGTGCACATTACTAGGCCACCTGAATTTTAATAAATTGTACATGTAACAGAATTAACTCAATCCATCTTCATTACCAATACTATAATCCTTTACTTTCCCATGCACATTCACTGACTAATTAAAATGCCCATTCTGGCTTAACAGAAATGCAACAAAAGAAACAAATAATTATTCTAAATATTCTGTTTAAAACGTCATATTTAAAGAAAGATAAAACTAAACTGCAATCTAAATTGCAATATTATCTACAATTCCAATTACTGTTTGCAGCCAACGCTTTGCAGATGAACTGTGTTTTTCTTTCTATAAAAGCAAATTTAACGAACGCATGCACGAGTCTGAGCACATACACCACGATGAACAATTTAAGAAGATAACAATGGTTTAATTGTGAAACCGATTGTTGGTTTATATTGAAAACAACATTAAAAATGGCTTTATGAATTAAATAATTAGCACTGAAGCATTCTTCCAATGAATAAAAAATAATGGTCAGTCAAATTTTGCCACTTCGCCCATTTATCACATTGAATACCACAGGACAAGGCTTTTTAACTGCAAGTAAAATGAATGCCTGTGGTAGTCGGGCAAGATTTCACAATGCCATGCTACATGGCAGGATGTGCAGTTGTAGCTGTCAATGGTCTTTTTTGTACTATCTTACTACAAGCCAATTGTTCACAACCATTATTGGTCACAACAAAAGGGCTTCCATCTTGTTTTACAGATTCACAAAGTGGACACTGTCCGAAAAAAATCCACCGTTGTTCCGTGCCTGTTTATTTCTAATGAGCACTGATTTGTGAGCATTAATTTGCGAGCACAATATATCTTGCCTTCATGCATTTAGCCTTTTGGGTATGGATCACTGACTCAATGATGCACAAACCATGTATAGAGGAACCATCTGTTCTATATAAACCATATATCTTCCCTTATTTCTACCTCAGAGTGACAATACAAATTCTCAAGTTTACCGACGAGTGTGTATCCATGTAGAGTGTCCATGAAAATGTATTATTCTGAAACAGCAACAAAAATACTAAAAATGAAAATGTTCCAGTTTGCATGTTCCGTGACAAGCTTAGCAAATATAACACATACAAATACAAACAACAGGGACAAACACGCACACAAGCATGCACACACAAAGCAGCACAAGTGAAAGAGTTCACGGTTTTTCATGAGCGTTTTTGTAATGGCTCAATATTATTTTAGTGAAAGAAAGGCACCACCGGCTCTTGCAACAACTGCGTGGGGCTCTCCAACCATTGCGTTATGCTTGAGCCTCTGCTAGCAAAAGAAAACGGCCACACCCTACATGGTACCTTCCAGCGAGGCTGGCAATCCGAGGGTCTCCAGAATCCACCAGGCTCGATATGCATGTCGCGCGCCAGCTGGCGAGACACCTCCCCCATGCTCACCTCGCTCATATTCACCTCCATCTCACCCTCTGTGGCACACGTGCACACACACACACACACATGACCGAATGCTTGCGCTGAAGGTCGAGTGCCACCGACTAGAACAGTATCACCTGTGCTTATTATGCCCGACTTCCGTTGCAAGTTAAAACATGTTCAACTAAATAGGGATCTTGTACGCATGCAGTTTTTCCCATTTACAAATGTTGAGCGATTAAGTCTTTAGTGCTTACAAAGCAAAAGTGGGATGCTGCCTGTGGGAGCTATTTGAGCTGATTGTGAGCGGATGCAATTAGCCTTCATGAAACGTTGATGTGGCATCTTAGAGTGCATTTTTAGTCACAAATTATTCACTGTAACCAACATGCAAACGTGTTTGTATGCATTAAACATACGGTTTAACCAACAAAATGAGAATGAAAATGAACAAATAGATAATGAAAAAGCTAATACAAATTTCTTTCAGCAAAATGAAATGAGATATTTCATAAACACTCAAGGTGTAAATAATAGTTGTGGTTTCTGAAGGTCGAATGCATTTCAGACCAAAAATTAATGCAATACCAAAAATTATAACCGGTGACCACATTAAAATTATAGAAATTTGGCATTTCGAAAACATATCCTTGGCTCACAATAGCTGAGTTGAGCTGCACAAGCCCTTTTTCCCTCACTTTGCATTACAAGGATGATGGTAGGCAATATGGCAAACATAAATGTGACCACTTGCTTTAAAAACCCAAAAGCATAAAAAAATATATGCAAATAAAAGGACGGTGGTCAGGAGTCAAGGCCCCTATACTACTAGAAGACTGCCCGAGTTTTCATGTTCCCGCTCTGCAGTGGCAACTGCTGTAGGGAAGCTGTTACCTGTCAGTATTATCTATACCTACATGGTCACCGACTCTTGACAAATAAAATATGAATAAAATCATTTCTGGAATTTCTTTTGGTGGTTGACTAGGTTGGGGATATTTAGCCAGAATGGATTTTCTTTCAACTGTAGTGGGCATTCAGCCATGCCATTGGGCCATTGGGTGAAAATAGCTGAAGTGATATGCATGAATTCTTACTCATGGATGGCAGTCGCTCTGGACAAATGTGGTCTGGGCGATAAGTAAATCCTGCTGGCAGGTAAGTGGTCATCTCCATCTGATAATCACTCGAGTTTATCCGGTACGCTGTCGATTCTGTAATGGAAACATTTTAAGGTAATACAATATGCAAATTAGCGTATGAAAATTTGAATACAATTATTGTTTTGTGCTCTTACACACTACCACACAGTCCCTAATAGGACCAAGACCCTGACTGTATTTTCTAATTAAACCTTCAAAATGTATTCATGATTTGATTACTGCTAATATTAGCAGCATGTTTGGAGAGTTGTTTTCCATTCTTTAAATATGCACACTGTAGTCGTGTTATACAACCAGCAACATCTCTATTTAAACATTTCCAACTTATAGCACAAATTCTCTCAAAAAGAATAAAAACTGCCACCTACTATAGTATGCATCACACACACGGGTCAATTTGTTACAAAACCATTGATCCAATAATACACAGACAAATGTGTTGAGTGTTTTGGTCTCTTCCCACAACCACCCCATTCCCCAGTTCTAAATGTTGTGGGGATTTTAAATCGAAAAATACCCTAATTGAAAGTGTTACAAATACAACCTGAAAAGCACTGCAGTGCCTATATGATATAAACTAAACATGTGAGATATGTTTATTTAATGTGAATAGAAGGTGGTTATAAGTGGGATATAGATCAGAGCATTGAGCTGGCACGGCTGAGCCGAGATTAGAATCCAAACAGCTGCCAATGATTAAAAGCAGGTTCTCAAGTAGAGTGAGTTGATTGTCGCAGCCGTTACCATTGAATCATATAAATATGGATTAACACTTCATTTGGCAAAATGTCAACATTAGAAATATATATCGGTATGGCTGTCATGTAACTAATAATTTCAAGCAGAGCTTATGGAAAAATGCTCCCCCCAACTGCGTAAAGGATAAAAAGGTCAACCAAAGTATTTATCAGTACTATGAAAAATATGTTCCATGGGGCATTCTTTGACGTGGGCCCCACTGCTCTGCAAGATCTCCGAATGTATTTTTTGTCTCGTGACAACTGTAAGAAATTTGGGGAAAATATATTTTTCACTTCATAAATAAGTCTACCGCAATTAAATGGAGTCCATTTACTGGGTTTCCTGCACCAGCAGTAATGAAGTTGCACTGCGGGGCATTAATGCAGCAGTCTTAAAACTCAGTCACCAAGTAATCTAAATTGCTGCTAGATTACACCAACACTGAAAACAAGCCACCTTCTGTCCATACACAACACGTCAAATGCCAACCAACCGGCAGTAAAGAACATATTTGGCTATGTAAAATACCACGTGATTCACTGTGTATTTCCTTGTTATATATTTTTTCCCAAAGGATGTATTAATTCACTATGGATGGTGAACCATTGATGGTGAATGAAGACAGGTTATGAGAAAGTTGTGTGTTAATAATGATTAAACAATGATGATAACGATGTACAGGTTTCCCTTGCTTAATGCGGTCGACGCATTCCAACCAAGCACACAAAGCAAAGTCGCACGAGACAGCTGCCTACCGAGTAGCTCAAAAGTACACACAATGTTGTCCCACATCAGACCTCGTAGCCGCATGAGTGAATTCAAACCGCATATTTTTTTATTTTGGGTAGAAATGGGTTAGCCGCATACATGCGAAATCGCACAAACTGAAACCGCATAAAGAGAGGGAAACCTGTAAATGTTAACAGCAATACTTGGTAATGACGATGTCACTCTACTTATGTGAGAGCAGTCTCAAAGGTACTCGTACCTCATGGTAACTGAAACATTTTTCTACCCCACACAATTCCTGCCCAGTGAAGGCAAACGATAGACAGAAAGACCAGTTGACCTCTCACCAGTATCGTTTAGGGACGAGTTTGGCGCCCTCATGCCAACCCGGATCACCTGTGCGTAGAAATTCCCCAGGCTTCGATGCACCTCACTGGTGCGTGCTTGGATCACAAACAGGTACGTGTTTGCTGCAAGACAGGACAAGAGTAAAGGTGCTCTCTATGAATCATTGTGTACCATGTCAAATAAACACTGTATGTATGCATGTTTAATTATTAAACACACACTGCACAAGCATGTAAACTGCCTTGGATTATGTAATCCTGTACCCTTGTAAAACATTTCAAAAGTGTTAGTGTTAAGACTATTTAAAATTAAAAGGAAACGAACATTCGTGAAGATTTTAATCAGACCGTACAATTGTCTGTCCGTGAACATTGTCATTTCTCCATTAATTTACAAATATGCTTCACTAAGCATATGCATTGTCATCCGCATCATTATTCATTCATAATGCTCTCATCATTATTATCATCATTATTCTTAAATATTAATTAACATCATCACTACTTCATGAATGCTTACAATTATTCATCAACGATGTGATGTCTATCCCAATTGATAACTAAAGCAAACCAATTACTGGGACAAGAACAGACCATCCTTAATCAAATTTTTTTATTTCAAACTGACCTTGTGCACCAATGGCCTTGATGTAAAAAAGCACGCCGTACAAAGGAAGATATTTCATAAGGAATCCAGGGAAAATAGGTACCAGAATGTGGAGTAAGCACAATTGCCTGAGGGCCTGCAAGTGGCAATTTGTACCCCAGTCCCAATAGATAGCACGCAGCCAATGATGTCTTAAACACATTTTCTTTGCTATAAACTGGGCTGCGTGTTATTTTGGGATTGAGAAAACATGCTTACAATTTTCCTACCTATAATCCATGTTATGCAAGACATAATTTGAAGTACCCATGATCTTTTTCAGTATTTTTACGATTTTTTAAAATGTCGCAAATTGTAGCGTTACCTTATAGGCATGTGAAAAGTAAGTAACTATCAGCTGCAGTAAGCTAGCATTACTTCCAGGATTTGTAAGCAATGTTTCTATTAATTCAGGTTGTTCATCAAGTTTACTGATTATATTTATTGATGGCCAGATTTAGTTCTGAGACTTTTTATTTACACGTGGTATTAATCTATTAGAGTGTTCGGCATATGGGGGCAGTCACAATTAAAATTACACGAAGCATCACAATTGACATATGTAATGAAACTTAAAAAATCAATGGAAAATGTTTTATACGTGCTTGTTTCTATACAACTTTCACTCAATTCATGTGAGCTATATGTGCATACGGCACCATGGGATCAATTTGGCCATCAGCGCAAGTAGCACTGGATGCACTCTCGTCAAATGAGTCACTAAAATAATGTATACACGGTGGAATAATAAAAAAAATGGTTGGTTGTCATACACGTCAGCTGGCTCAGAACCTCACGAGGCTCATTTTTAGCTCCGTTGCCTCTGAATTTGTGCAGCGCAGCAGATTCACCATGGCAACAAACCCATCCCCGCACTGCGACCGGTCGCCATGCCGAGCGACGATGGCTAAAACTGACTATGTGAGGCGACTGCTTCTTTTACGTATTAAAGAAAGCAATTTGCGGCAAACATTTTTGCAGAACTGTGAGAAAATGGGAAACTGCACAACACTGCTTTTTAGTGGCAGCTGAGGGTTTCATTCTTGGCAGACATGTTTTTTTACTTTATAAAAAATAAAATAAAATGGCAGGTCTTGTTGGAACAATTATGTAGCTTAGTATGAAATTTATAGTTTGGATATCCAATCAACCTTGAATAAAACATGGGATAAGTCTTAAAATGAGAAGAAAAAACGCAATTACAACAGGTATTGCTTTGGCCGAGACGTATTTACAATAATAATTCAAGATGACAATATACATAACGGCTAATATGTTGGCCAATGTTTAATTTCTATCAACATAATTTTACAGCCATATGATGTTTCCATACACACCAAGCTCTGTTTCAATGTTATGACTTGAACAATGCATATGAATTCACATGAGACTGTTTAAATACACCAGATGTGAAATTGTTAAATATGTGAGCATGCTAAAAGGGTGGGTGTGGTTATGTTCACATGTTTACACAAACCTAAGCATTTTTTTTTACAAAAACAGTTTCACAATCTTCTAAATTAGTTTTTGCACAATATGGTATGAAGTGTGCATGTTTAAATATGCTGAATGTAAGAGTTTGGCCACGTTTTCTGATTCAAAGGATTCAAGAAATGTTTTAAAAAAGGCAAAAAATTCGTGCTATAATTGCATTATCCAACTATTTCAAATGAATATGGCAAGAAAACTCGAGTTTGGATAGCTCAGCTCCAGGCAATTATGCTGCTCATTATTTTTTCGAGATGGCGCATTTAACAGCTTAAATCAAGTGGCGAGCTGGAGATACCCCCGGAGTAGTGCATGTGGTTTTGCACATATGCAAGGTAATAATCGCATCAGCAATAGAACAATTGCATAACAGCATAAATATTATACCATTGTCATTCATATGCCATTAATGTTCTTCTGGCCATTTGGAAAATATATGACCAGCACATCCTCAATATAGAAAAAGGATCATCAACTTGAAAAAGACGTAGCAGGAATGGACATTGCAGATTTTTCTCTTAATTTCAAGACATCTGCTCTTATTCTGAGCATGCTTCCTAAAATATCACCATATGTCACAATCACAAAACGTAGCTGTTTGTTTTTAAGTGTGACACTAAACAATGAGAAAGCAGAAGTTATAATTTTGGCAGTAAGTGTGCTAACCATAATATGTTAAGATATAACAAATCTGCCCAACACTTTCATAGAGAGTACTGAAAGTGGTTTTAATTTTTTGTTCTAACTTTTTCACTTTTGCACAGAATAATTGTCAAGTGACCATTTTGCAGCTCCTGTGGTAAGAGTGCCTCACAGACTCAAAATGAGACATCCTATGGCAAGTGAGCAACATAATGAAGGCCAATGCAGCAAGGACATAATTACACAAGCAGACAACAGGGATGTGCAAAGATGAGTTGAAGAATGAAATGGGTGGTCCAGAGAAGATTTTCCATTGATTTCACACGGCAATCAAATGTTCTTTCAGACCACAATACTCTAGCTCTCTCTCTCAAATTATTCTCATCAACCCTGAACAATTTTAGTTCATTATCGCTGATTGGCAACACTGATCCATTAAAAGAGCGTACAGACAAAAAAATAAACCAAGATACCTGAAACATGCTTTACTTCTTCTCTGGGAAGACATATATTTAGCCGTATTTTTATCTCACATTTTTTTTTAAGTTGAGGAGAGGTGTTTAAAAGAGACTTTCTAATTCTTTGCATCTCTAAACTAGAAGCAAATTAAAAAAATAATGGTGTCTGTATAAAACATGCAAACAAATAAGGAGTTTAAAGATATGTTTGCTTTTGTGTAATGCTAGAGGATATCTTTTTTTACATATTGTCTTTCTTTAACACGGGCTATGTTGCTGTTCCCAGTGTGAAATTGTCAACATCGTTTTCTGTACTAAACTGAGATGTACTTTCCAAAAACAGATTTCATGAACTTGGCTACATGTTAGTGTATTAGCTACTAGCAGGAATAACATCTGCCTCTGAATACCAAATTAAAGGTGAAAAAAGAACACTGAGCCACTTGGCCTGCACATGGTTGCCAGGGCATTTGCTAAGCTCTGTAGCAGCATGTGGCTGCTGTTCCTTAGAGAAAATTTTGCAGCGTCAGATGCTACCCGAGTGCACGGGAGTGAACATTTCTCTGACCAAACATCTATGCATTACTGATGACCTGATTTTCCCAATTATTATGATGCCAGTGGCAATGTATAAATGTGATACTGGAGAAGTGACATCATTTACACCTGCATGGGGAAAGAGGCCATTTTTAAATCCTTTATATTAAGTTCACTTGCTTGCTTGCATGCTTACGACCGTGCAATTCTTTCGGTCGTTTTTTAACCCACTTCCCGTGATCCAATCGCGCTGACATTTTGCACACAGACTCGTTGTGCGTGACAATTTATTTTCGTGAAATTTTTTTCCCAAAAATTTACACTTTTTAGGAAAAAATAAATTATATTTAATTACCAATTGCTTAATGGTGGCAGGCAATCATCTGACCCATAGGTGGCAGCCATCTCAAGCCAGAGGACGAGAGGACTCTAGCCGCCACGCATATAAAGGATTTATAGTGAAAAACTTTGTTTTTACGGGTTAATTTTTTTCAGGGTTCAATGGCTTTAAAAGTCCATTTCAGGAGCAAGGAAACTTTCATGTAGCAAAAATAGGCTTCATAATAAACGTTTTTGGGTTAGATCGCGTTATTTATAAATGTGTCGTAACCCTCCACCACCCGACACGGCCAATCAGCAACAAAGTGTCACGTTGACAAAAGACAAATAGTTCACTACTTTAGCCCACCGGTGTGTTGAAGAGTGAAACCAGAACATTTACCATTTTTGAGTACGACGTTTCGCTGGTAATTGCATCGGGCAATTGGCGATTCCCTGCCAAGGGAATAAAATATAAAATGGCCAATTTTCTGACTTCTAAAATAAGTCTAAGTGGTCTCAAACATGGCCTCCTGAATTAAAGTTAAAGCCACAACATGGTCCCATACTCCTGTTGCTTATGAGCACCGAAGTCAACCAACTGTATTCTTATAACAACAAATGGCTCTTCACATTAAACAGCAAAGGTACGGTTACATGCAGACTAAACGAACCATAAAAGTGGTACATGACCACAATGGTATACTGGATTTTTGCAAATATATTTATGATATATTGTTTCTAGTGTCTTGCCATTTTGTAAAAAAAACATTTCTGCAAGTAATCCTTCCAATGGGATGGCCCAGGGGTGGCGCTTCAGTTTAGTTTGAAGGCGTCGAGGGGGGCCCAACGCGGTGGGAATTGTCCCGTGCCCCCCACTATGGACGGCCCTGATTTTCAGTTACCCATTTTTATTATGATTCTGCATTGGCAGTGGCGCACAAATAATACAACTCAAACACATTCGTCAATAACACTGCCCTAACGGAAGGGCCATTGCCCGAACGTCGCATTATAATATCCCTTTGAGGAGTATGGTGTTATTATTGCTCATCAGCCAATCGGGCTGCGTATACTTATCCGCGCTACGAAATACACCAACGCGTGCAATCGCATTTCATAACACGCACGCGCATAGGGCGCTCCGATTTGGTAGTGCGCGTAAGCGGTGGCGCCGGTCTGTGATTGGCTCACGCGGGCCGTGGTGCCGCCTATGCGCGCGATGAAATGTAGTCGTTCTGGGCGACTTCCCCCTTCATGGCAACGGCGGGAAGGCGGCGGCGGTGGCGGCGGACGAGCTATCGTCGCTTGCGCTGAAGAGAAATACATTTGTACTAAAAGCATTAAATTAAAAAAAATTACAAACAGTGCGAACGTTCAAAAATATATACGCAAGATCAAATTGCAACTAAGATGAAGAAATCGTCCCGCCGTTTGTTGGCGTTGCTTTTCCTCTTCAGTTTTTCATCGTCTTTTATGTACTTCATTTACGTCGCACCGGGCATAGGTGAGACGAAGGGGATGGGGGGGCCCGGCCCGCATCACGGCTCACATTTAAATATAAATTAGCACGAAATTATTATTTGCAAAAAAAATACGTGCGTGTTTAAAGCTCTTCGAGGTTGTTTTTATATTTTTTGTACGTTAAACGCGTCGTCAATAACGGTCGTGGTTTTTTTTTTACGTATGAATGCATTATTTTTTTTTTGCGGAGAAATATTCCAAAGATTGTATTAACAAAAATGTGTTTGGTCCTCGTCCGCATGTGTGTGGGTGCGTGATGGGGGTGGAGAATTGCAGCCACCCTCGTTTGCCAATGAATGGGGAGGGGATTCTTTAGGGTTTTTGTGGAGAAGGGGGCACGTTTGTCAATTAATGAGGGGGGCTCTGGTTTATTTTAGGGGGGTCGTTAAATTGACGAGGTTGTATTTCGTTGCTTGTGAATTCTGTTAAATTTTCTCGTTTTGTGCGATTTTTTAACGTTTTGCAGGTTGTCTTGCCAGCAGCAACCTTTTAACGTTTTTCCACAGGTTTTTTTAATTGTAATTTAGCAAGCATGTTTTTGTTTATGTATGAATGCTGATGGTTGATCGTTTTTGGCTTATTCCATAAATACATTATCGAGATATAAAAAAAGATTTAAAAAATGATTTCATGAAATCGAAATGTGCACCAATGCTCTCCTGTGCAAATGTTGATCTGTTTTGCACCATCAATATTATCACCCAGGGCAGAGATAAGGTTTATTGAAGACAGGTCCACCCAATATGCTCATAAGAATATATATGAAAAAATCTATTTTAAAGCAGACGTAATACAGGTACAATGGAAATAGGCCTCAAAACCAATTACATCTCGGCTAATTATATATATCTGATTTGTTATTTACCAGCGTTTGATATATTTCCAACTTGGTTTTACCCCCCTTCCATGCTAACACCAATAACTGTCAGAGCTGCTTTCTAAGCGCCTACCAGATTCTATTCCCCAATGTCTCGTATTGGCTGACAGCGACCGAGCTGTGCACACACTGATAACAAAATGCTTGTCTGCTTTGTGGGTGGTAGGCAACCTTTCTATGTGGTGGGCCACGTGCTTTAAATAGGTTTGATTTCCGGCAGCACCCAGCACCCATCCATTGATTCCTGCTGGGGGAGTATGATTGAATGACACAATTCATAGTGTTAAAAAATGGTCTTCACCTGCTAATCTTTCATTGGAAGTTGCATCTGCACAAGTCAGTCGTGTACAAGGTCAGAATTATGAAATGGCATATTGTTAAGATATTTATTGCTTGGGGCTTTGGGTACGATCTTGTGTTTGGAAAGCCATGCCAAAGCACCAAAGGAGATGCGGATAACATTTTTTTATACCAATGAACATGGCACACAGCGAATAGAGAAGGTGATTGACTGATGGTGAACTGTCTATATACAGAAGGTGATGGACTGACGGCAAACCGTAAAATTGCATAGTGGGCATATAAAAAAGGCAGAGGAAGGAATGGAGAGAGATGAGAGGTGGGATACAAGGGAGTGGTTTGAAAAAGAAGCCAACAACAACCACTTTGAAATACGAGATGCTCATGGGTGGAAATATGGTATATGGTGTACATTGCGAGCTTGCTTGTATTGACATTTGCCGTCCCAAATTGCTGAATTGACCGTCAGCGAAATGGTAATAATGCAATATACAGTATTACGGTACAGAATAAAACCACACGGGCCTCCTTGTAAATGAACAGTTAAACAAGTTATTGTATCTAGCCGCTGCACATGGACATTTAAATATAATAAATAAATAAACATATCAGCAGTACTGTACAGGACATAGGCTGATATTTATCTTATTTGATGGTTCTTATTTTTCTGTTCTGTGACACTGAGCCTTATGTTTGCCTTTTGGCACTGCCTGGTGGCTGTACTCTAATAGGCTTTGTAGTTGCCACCTTTCTCTAGGACTCTCAGCTGGGAACATTCGCTACCCTCATGTTGGCTGTGTTTACAACAAAGTGGCGTTTGCCTGGAGTGCATACGTTCCTCTTCCCATCAGTAACTACAGCTGGTTACACGAGTGCTTACAAACAGCATACCGACCACATTGTTTGCCTTAAATCACACATTTATTTCAAAGTTCATTCTGAGGGTTGTGGTAAATGCTCATAATTGAAATGAATTATTGATGCTAATGGGTTTTTTTTGCCAAACCATTACGTTTAAAGTAAACATCTGCCACTTCATGCATATATCAGTTTTTGACAAGAGCCAATTGTATTAATGGATAGTAGTATAAAACCTCAAAACATTGTAAACATACCTTCCTGGCCTGGAGATATGCATAGGGCAGCATGGGCGGAAGTTAGCAGAGTAAAATACAAAATTACGGAATGTTTTGGCTTGAAGTGGAGCTATTGGCTGTGTTTTTGCATGTCACCATTAAATGAAACTGAAATATGTTAATAAAACAGCTGATGTGCATTGCGGGCAGACAGGTTTTTCAGGATGAATTCAATGTTCACATTCAACATCGGAGGTATTGCCAGAGAAGAAGACATCTTTTTGTGCACATTGGTATACTGTGCACAAAAAAAAACATTTATTAGCACATACAATTTGTGCGTAGCATATCGATTTTGCGTTTCTGAGCGCTCAGTTTAGAATTACTGTAATGTGAATACGAGAAAATTGAGGCCTGGGATTTCCATAGTTGCAAAGTCAGGTGTGTTAAATTGCAATAGATGCTCCTGAACCGGATTCTGGATAGATCTGTCAGCTCATAAATTTTCCACTGTAATTTTAGTTCACTATTTGTATTAATATGATTATTTTATGCCACACTTTAAGTTTACAGTGTGCTTGTTCTAATCTGTGCTTTTGGTGGAATTTTAAGAGCTACATGCACATATATTGGCATGATTATGGTAAGTCATGGCTTTGTGACTGCGGAAGCTTAGTATTGTGGAAAAAAATATTTTTTTAATCTTGTGGCAGCTTGCCTGATCGCTATAATGTCATAAAATGTGTGGCATAATTTTAAATTGGAGCATGCAAATGTGGCCAGCATGCCGATGTATTCCAGACTGCGGCTTGCTATGAATAGTTTGTGAAACAGTAAGGAGTTGTTAGACGAAATTTATTTCAAGGAGACCAAATCCATTGCTCAGCTGCCATCTGACAGTTTTATAATAATGTGCTGAAGTGGGTAGTATCCTTGGCCCCATGTACAATAACATACAATGAATGTTCGCAGACATTTTTTTACAACAATACAGTGGGATTTCACGATTTAGATATATACAATACATAGCACCAAGCATTGTTTTTTTCATGCCCCCAGTTGCCATTAGCATAATTCTGATGCCATTGGCTTGCATTTTATAAGTGGCACTTGATGAAAGATTTATGCCTTTCCAAACCTTATTATATTTTTGCAGTCCTTGCACAAAGCAGCCTTATACGGTGTATTTGTTGAAGTGACATATCTCAGTGTATTTAAAAAGTACCTACAATAGTCTAACAGACTGTACCGTTTGACGTTGGTTTCTCAGTGTTATTCATTACAGAACTTGTGTAGAAAGTAGTCATCACTTGTCATTGTTCTTCGTTTAAACATTGAACTGCATGAGGGATACAGTAAAGGATATGTTTTCTGGTGTAGTGTATCTCTGACGCAGAGTTGAAATTATGTCACAATAATGATTTGTAATTTTAGAAATGCACCGCATATCTGGTTTCAACTGCCATTTAAGATAATGAGTAGACATGTGGTAGGGTTTCAACCATTTGAAGAAGGTTCATAGTTTTTGGTTTAGAGACTTTTTAAAATTTAAAATACTGTGGTAATTTTCATATTTAATATATGTAAAATTAGCTCAGTTGGGCCATCCCATTGGAAGGATTACTTGCAGAAATGTTTTTTTTACAAAATGGCAAGACACTAGAAACAATATATCATAAATATATTTGCAAAAATCCAGTATACCATTGTGGTCATGTACCACTTTTATGGTTCGTTTAGTCTGCATGTAACCGTACCTTTGCTGTTTAATGTGAAGAGCCATTTGTTGTTATAAGAATACAGTTGGTTGACTTCGGTGCTCATAAGCAACAGGAGTATGGGACCATGTTGTGGCTTTAACTTTAATTCAGGAGGCCATGTTTGAGACCACTTAGACTTATTTTAGAAGTCAGAAAATTGGCCATTTTATATTTTATTCCCTTGGCAGGGAATCGCCAATTGCCCGATGCAATTACCAGCGAAACGTCGTACTCAAAAATGGTAAATGTTCTGGTTTCACTCTTCAACACACCGGTGGGCTAAAGTAGTGAACTATTTGTCTTTTGTCAACGTGACACTTTGTTGCTGATTGGCCGTGTCGGGTGGTGGAGGGTTACGACACATTTATAAATAACGCGATCTAACCCAAAAACGTTTATTATGAAGCCTATTTTTGCTACATGAAAGTTTCCTTGCTCCTGAAATGGACTTTTAAAGCCATTGAACCCTGAAAAAAATTAACCCGTAAAAACAAAGTTTTTCACTATAAATCCTTTATATGCGTGGCGGCTAGAGTCCTCTCGTCCTCTGGCTTGAGATGGCTGCCACCTATGGGTCAGATGATTGCCTGCCACCATTAAGCAATTGGTAATTAAATATAATTTATTTTTTCCTAAAAAGTGTAAATTTTTGGGAAAAAAATTTCACGAAAATAAATTGTCACGCACAACGAGTCTGTGTGCAAAATGTCAGCGCGATTGGATCACGGGAAGTGGGTTAAAAAACGACCGAAAGAATTGCACGGTCGTAAGCATGCAAGCAAGCAAGTGAACTTAATATAAAGGATTTAAAAATGGCCTCTTTCCCCATGCAGGTGTAAATGATGTCACTTCTCCAGTATCACATTTATACATTGCCACTGGCATCATAATAATTGGGAAAATCAGGTCATCAGTAATGCATAGATGTTTGGTCAGAGAAATGTTCACTCCCGTGCACTCGGGTAGCATCTGACGCTGCAAAATTTTCTCTAAGGAACAGCAGCCACATGCTGCTACAGAGCTTAGCAAATGCCCTGGCAACCATGTGCAGGCCAAGTGGCTCAGTGTTCTTTTTCACCTTTAATTTGGTATTCAGAGGCAGATGTTATTCCTGCTAGTAGCTAATACACTAACATGTAGCCAAGTTCATGAAATCTGTTTTTGGAAAGTACATCTCAGTTTAGTACAGAAAACGATGTTGACAATTTCACACTGGGAACAGCAACATAGCCCGTGTTAAAGAAAGACAATATGTAAAAAAAGATATCCTCTAGCATTACACAAAAGCAAACATATCTTTAAACTCCTTATTTGTTTGCATGTTTTATACAGACACCATTATTTTTTTAATTTGCTTCTAGTTTAGAGATGCAAAGAATTAGAAAGTCTCTTTTAAACACCTCTCCTCAACTTAAAAAAAAATGTGAGATAAAAAATACGGCTAAATATATGTCTTCCCAGAGAAGAAGTAAAGCATGTTTCAGGTATCTTGGTTTATTTTTTTGTCTGTACGCTCTTTTAATGGATCAGTGTTGCCAATCAGCGATAATGAACTAAAATTGTTCAGGGTTGATGAGAATAATTTGAGAGAGAGAGCTAGAGTATTGTGGTCTGAAAGAACATTTGATTGCCGTGTGAAATCAATGGAAAATCTTCTCTGGACCACCCATTTCATTCTTCAACTCATCTTTGCACATCCCTGTTGTCTGCTTGTGTAATTATGTCCTTGCTGCATTGGCCTTCATTATGTTGCTCACTTGCCATAGGATGTCTCATTTTGAGTCTGTGAGGCACTCTTACCACAGGAGCTGCAAAATGGTCACTTGACAATTATTCTGTGCAAAAGTGAAAAAGTTAGAACAAAAAATTAAAACCACTTTCAGTACTCTCTATGAAAGTGTTGGGCAGATTTGTTATATCTTAACATATTATGGTTAGCACACTTACTGCCAAAATTATAACTTCTGCTTTCTCATTGTTTAGTGTCACACTTAAAAACAAACAGCTACGTTTTGTGATTGTGACATATGGTGATATTTTAGGAAGCATGCTCAGAATAAGAGCAGATGTCTTGAAATTAAGAGAAAAATCTGCAATGTCCATTCCTGCTACGTCTTTTTCAAGTTGATGATCCTTTTTCTATATTGAGGATGTGCTGGTCATATATTTTCCAAATGGCCAGAAGAACATTAATGGCATATGAATGACAATGGTATAATATTTATGCTGTTATGCAATTGTTCTATTGCTGATGCGATTATTACCTTGCATATGTGCAAAACCACATGCACTACTCCGGGGGTATCTCCAGCTCGCCACTTGATTTAAGCTGTTAAATGCGCCATCTCGAAAAAATAATGAGCAGCATAATTGCCTGGAGCTGAGCTATCCAAACTCGAGTTTTCTTGCCATATTCATTTGAAATAGTTGGATAATGCAATTATAGCACGAATTTTTTGCCTTTTTTAAAACATTTCTTGAATCCTTTGAATCAGAAAACGTGGCCAAACTCTTACATTCAGCATATTTAAACATGCACACTTCATACCATATTGTGCAAAAAACTAATTTAGAAGATTGTGAAACTGTTTTTGTAAAAAAAAATGCTTAGGTTTGTGTAAACATGTGAACATAACCACACCCACCCTTTTAGCATGCTCACATATTTAACAATTTCACATCTGGTGTATTTAAACAGTCTCATGTGAATTCATATGCATGTTCAAGTCATAACATTGAAACAGAGCTTGTGTGTATGGAAACATCATATGGCTGTAAAATTATGTTGATAGAAATTAAACATTGGCCAACATATTAGCCGTTATGTATATTGTCATCTTGAATTATTATTGTAAATACGTCTCGGCCAAAGCAATACCTGTTGTAATTGCGTTTTTTCTTCTCATTTTAAGACTTATCCCATGTTTTATTCAAGGTTGATTGGATATCCAAACTATAAATTTCATACTAAGCTACATAATTGTTCCAACAAGACCTGCCATTTTATTTTATTTTTTATAAGTAAAAAAACATGTCTGCCAAGAATGAAACCCTCAGCTGCCACTAAAAAGCAGTGTTGTGCAGTTTCCCATTTTCTCACAGTTCTGCAAAAATGTTTGCCGCAAATTGCTTTCTTTAATACGTAAAAGAAGCAGTCGCCTCACATAGTCAGTTTTAGCCATCGTCGCTCGGCATGGCGACCGGTCGCAGTGCGGGATGGGTTTGTTGCCATGGTGAATCTGCTGCGCTGCACAAATTCAGAGGCAACGGAGCTAAAAATGAGCCTCGTGAGGTTCTGAGCCAGCTGACGTGTATGACAACCAACCATTTTTTTTATTATTCCACCGTGTATACATTATTTTAGTGACTCATTTGACGAGAGTGCATCCAGTGCTACTTGCGCTGATGGCCAAATTGATCCCATGGTGCCGTATGCACATATAGCTCACATGAATTGAGTGAAAGTT